AAAATTAATAAAACAAATATTACATATAAAATTAAAATATTCTTAGGAATATTGGAATTTTTATTATTTTTTGATAATAGTATTTAATTATTTGTAGACTTCTAAATGTCTGAATCTATGGATACTTCTGAACCTTCTAAAGAGAATACTACTACACAAAATAGTACATCTGTTCAAACTAACGTCACAGATAAAAAACCAATATGTATCATTGTTCTTGGAATGGCTGGATCTGGCAAAACCACATTTGTACAACAACTTGTTTCAGTGTTATATAATACTACAGGAAAAGCATATGTTATAAATTTGGATCCTGCGTGTAAAGAAGTCCCATATCCTGCTAATATAGGTAGTATATTGTATTATTATTCTACTTTTGTCTATAAATATGATTTACTAAATATCTGATGTTTTAGATATTAGAGATACTGTCAATTACAAGGAAGTGATGAAACAATATAGTTTAGGACCAAATGGTGGTATTGTTACTGCTTTAAATCTTTTTTCTACAAAATTTGATCAAGTTATAGACCTTATTGGTAAAGTTGGCAAAGAGTATGAATATGTAATTTTGGACACTCCTGGACAAATAGAAGTTTTTACATGGTCTGCAAGTGGAACAATTATAACGGAAGCTTTGGCATCTCAATTTCCAACAGTTGTAGTATATATATTAGATACTGTAAGAAGTGTTAATCCTGTGACATTTATGTCTAACATGCTTTATGCATGTTCTATACTTTATAAAACCAAACTACCATTTATTGTTGCTATGAATAAGGTAATTATAAATTTAGTAGTTCTATCAATGAATTTTTTGTAGATATTGAACCTTGTGATGCTCTTAATTATATTAATTTTGTGGCATTTTTAAAAATAATACATACACAATATATAAAAATATTTATATTTATGAAGATTTCTATTAAGTAACAAAAAGCTTCAAAGTATTAAATGTTATTATATAATCCATTAATTGTAATGTAATCATAATAATGTACTTTCAGATTGACATTGTCGAACATAGTTATGCAGTAGACTGGATGCAAGATTTTGAAACATTCCAAGAAGCTTTGGATTCAGAAACAAGTTATATTAGTAATTTAACACGTAGCATGGCTCTCACACTTGATGAATTTTATTGTCATTTACATAGTTGTGGTGTTTCTGCTGCAACAGGAGCTGGTATTACTAAGTTTCTTGAACTTGTTAAAAATGCTGCAGAAGAGTATGAAAGGTAAATTATGCACTTGAATAATAATAAATCATTGGATAAGCTTGTATAAAATAGTGCAAAATATAATGCTATAATATGTGATTATATAATATGTGATTTTTCTGTTGAAGGGATTATAAGAAAGAATGGGAGAGAATGAAGATTAAACGAAATGCTCAAAGACAGAAAACAGACAAGGAACAACTTGAGAAAGCAGCTCAAGAAATCAGTGGAGAAAATGTATCATTAATAACAACTATTAATAGTGGAAGAGAAATTTCAGATATATTTTTAAAAAATTCTGGTGATGAATCAAGTGAGGATGAAGAAGGTACAGAAAATCCATACAAAGAAGAAAATGATGAAGAAGAAATGAAAGAAGCAGAGTCTTTTAAAAACTTTTTAGACAGACATAAAATGAAGCAAAATAAGCATACATCTAATCAACCCACAACAAGTAGTAATACATAGTTTGCATAGAAATTTTTATATTAA